TCGTATCAGATTTTCAAGTTCTGTATATTCGAGAGTATATTGAGAGAATTGCAAACTACTTGCAAACACTGTAACGAAACATAAAAATCAAAGCAAGAGAAGTAAAGTGTCAAATTCATAAAAAACTACATGATAGATTAATACTTGCATTCTTATCTAAATTATCTAGGCGTGATTATAACTTTCCATTAGAAATAATCTATGTTTAAATTAATCTACGATTATCTTATCACTGCACGATACTTCCATGCAACACTCTAGCCTAATGTTTGTATGCAAAGTTGCGTAAGACGCACATAATGTGTGTAAAAAAATATTGTGCATTCTACAAAACATATAACACAAGTAATAAACGATGAATAAAATATCCAAAATTATCGAATTACATTTTCCAGCGAATTCACAGTTCTGTTACAACGAGCACGTGAAACAACCTCGTTCCCCTCAATATTCAAGAATACAAATTTATAGAGAAGTCTTTGGCAACTGTACACATACACACGTTTCACAATTCCGCTGTGTCATTGTGAACGAATCTTCAGGTTTGGCCACACACAAGTCAGCGAATCATCATATCAAGGACTTCAGAGTTTCTCCCACTCTGCTTCCTGCCTCTCGTTTCGTCACACATAGTCAATAATCTCTCGGTGTATGCACACAGAGGCAGACAGACGAGTTTACTTTCAACTGGTAGCGTTCACTGTCAGTCGGCGATCGCGGTGGCTGCTGGCAGGAGAGGCAGGTCGTTCCGGTGAAGACTAACATAAGTAATGTCATCATGTCCGAACAGACGGAGGATTATCACGCCTTGCTGGAGCCGCTGGTCGCCAAGGTGAGCTCGATTCTCGGCAAAAGTTTCGAGAACGTGCGCTACGAGGTGTCTGTTCCTAGCGACTCGTTCTTCATTTCGAATCTATTTTTCGTCAATATTGTCTGGAATGCCAGTCCCGTCGGCGACGACGAGGCGAAGAGGAGAGCGTCGACCAGCATAGTGGTGAAGAAAATGCCGCCAGAAACGATACAAGAGACGATGAAATCCAAGGAACAGTTCGAAAACGAGATATTGTTTTACCAGAAGTACGTCCAGTATTACGATCGGGTCCCTCGTTGTATCTACGCCACGGACGAATCGTCGTCGCTCGGCTCGGTGATCGTTTTGGAGAACGTCAGCACCAAACGTGGCTACAGTATGTGCAAATGGAAGTACGACACGCCATTGGAGTACACGGTGGCCGCGTTCCGAGAGATCGCGAGGTTCCACGCGATAGCGTACGCGACGAAGAGGACTCGCGAGAAGAAGTTCTTCGATTTCGTGAACGCCATTCAAGATATCAAGTTCTATCCGGAGTCGAGTTTGAAGGACATATTCAACGGGACCGCGACCAGATCGCTTGACTTCCTTCGCAAGCAACATCACGACAAAGAATTCTGCGACAAATTGGAAGCTCGATTGGCGAACACGTTTGACGACTTGATCTTGAAGTTCACCGAGGCCGAGGAGCCTCTTGCCACTCTGTGCCACGGCGACTTCACGATCAATAACATGTTATTCAAGAAAGAGGGTGACGAGCAGAAAGTCATCTTCATCGACTTCGCGCTGATACAGTACGGATCGCCGATTTTGGATCTGTCTACGTTTTTGTGCTTGCACAGTGCCAGAGACGTGGACAAAGTTATGTTGGACAATGTTCTGAGAGTGTACCACGATTCCTTGATACGACACCTCAAGGAGAACGGTATAGACTGCGAGGATTATTCGTACGAAGCTTTGTACGAAGATTACAAGAAGAGGGGTCTGTTCGGATTTTTCATTGCCTCGTTCTTCTTAGCGACACAGATGGGCAAGTTTGATGGACAGATAGAAGATTTCGCGAAAATAGATCCGGCAGAGTGGCCAGCGCTTTCGCGTCAGTTGGGCGGAGAAGAAATTGACGAAATTTTGGCGAACATGTTGTTGAAATTAAAGGAATTTGGGTGTCTGGATTACATATTGTGATTACGACCTGTAAGTTCTCCAGAAATCAAGTCAAACGAACGCGATTTTTTGTCGTTCGATGAAAAGTAAAAATGTTACTCGTTATAGAGGAGAGTATTATACAGAATATCATTATGGATAACGACGATGATTAAAATAATTATGTTAGCACTCGTATTTGGAAATTCATATTGTGAGAATTTTACCATATTGTGATAAATTTCGTAACTGATTATCGATTATCGTCAAGTTTCGTGATTCGAATAACGATTCGCTGAAGAATCGAAATTCAACTGTACATAGCCGTTACAAAACGTAAAAAGTATTATCGCCTGATAACCAAAGGTGTCACTCACGGGCAATGACGGACGAACAAAAATTCGTACTACATGAAAATTCGTAACTTTTACACCAGACCTTTTTTTTTTCTTTTAAATCAATATTAATAATAATCACTTCTGAATTGTTTATTAAATAATGAATGGCTATGGAGTATCATGTGCTTCTTTTCACTGTATGCATTGTAAATTACGATCGTTGACTAACGCAAATTCTGTTGTTGCTTTTAACGTTTCGAAAGTGTACACTTGCTGATAATTTGTAGATACGACCATGTTATGTAAAATATCTTGAAGTTTCATTATCATGATTAGTAATGTTCGAAATTTGTAGTAAATAGTATTTTTTATTTTTATTTTTAATAATAATTTTTATAAATTTTCGTAGTAGAAGCTACTGCAGATACTGGAAAATATTTCGTTACATTAATAAAACACGATACTTGCTGGAATTATACATTCACGATAATCACGTTTTGTTACAGTGCTAAGTCTCAAATCTCTTGTAATATACATGTACATTCGTAAATCCAATGGCAAATGTTTACGAAATTAAAAAGACGTAAATGTACCAATCGAATAAAATATACAAATAAAATTAAAAAAATACACAAGGAATGAGTATAAATATAAATACAAAACGAATATACAAATAAGAGGGAAAGAAAATATGATTAAAGAAACACGTTGCAATATTCGATAAATGAGACAGATAATTTCTACATGCTGTCGATAATAAACACGTGAAAGATATTAGTGTTTATGTTCGATTTTTTTAAACTGCATTTATAAAAAAAAATACGAGTAATAATAAGTGAAAGTACAAGTTCCGAAAATATTGTAAATTCAAAAATCAAGATCTGCTGTCTATAATTATCCTTATAATCCCGAGAATTAAATCTTTAATTGTGCGTACAATTAAATGCGTACATTCCTTCTTCGAGTTCGAATTTCTACGAACGTTAGATCGCTATGCTCCGTTTACGCGAACTATTCCATTTCGTTCGAACGAAACTGTAGTCAGTGCGCGATTAAACGAGCTGGTTACTAATCTACTTACATCCACTACACGAGCGAAAAATTATACGAACTCCGACCACATAAATCCTCTGTCCCTCCCCCCCTCCCCGGCAAATTCACGCAAATGAAGTTTCACTGTAATTACTCTAAGCGAGGAACTCTCATTCCAACACTAATCTCACTCCCCCCCC